CCCCGGGCCCGGCCGCTCGGCGGGGACCCCGCGGCTTCAGCACCGAGCCGTCAGACTCAAAGGGACCTTTCTCTAACAGCTGATCCGGCAAAGAGGGTGACATCTCACAGTTATTTTAGAAATATTTGTCATTTGTGGGGTGTTTGGTTAGTTGGCTTGGGGGTTGGGTTTGTTTCGATTAATTATATTTTTTTTCGTATCAGCCTTTCCTACGACTAAGTACATACATCCCCAAATTTCTGATTTTTTAAATTATCAGAGGTTTGTCAGCTAACAGAAGTCTCTGTCGGATTCTCACAGTACATGGCTGCGGATGAAATGTATCAACAAAACGTGGAAATGAAACACTATTCAAGGATTACATATGTGAATGGCTGTTTTAATTATCCTTTAAGGCTATATGACAGATTTTCACTGTCTTATTAATGTATTTCTTTTACATGTTATTCTACTACCCATGGAAGCCCTAACTTTGCTTCATTTTATCTGGGGAAAAAAGTTAACCAAATAAGAGGTCAAATTCTGCAGACAGTAATTGATAAACATTTCTATTAAAGTGCACTTGAAATTAGGGAGGAGTGCTGTTGAATTAAATGGGGACTTAATTAGCACATGCAGACTATAAAGATTTTTTTTTTCCTTCTAACTGAAAAATTAGACTAATCTAAATTATTCAGTTTCTTAGTCTAGTTTACATCTGAGTTCTATGTGTAAATAGTTAAGTCTGGTGAATCAGTTCAAAATTATTCAGTATGCAGTGTTTACTATACAGTATTTTCTTACAGATTTGTGTAATTTGAGAAATAAATTTTTTTGCACATCATCCCAGGAGTAGGGAATAATGTAAAATGATAAAGAAAGAAGCCAACAGGACAGCAGTGAAATACCCAAGGGTTCCATTCGTGTGAAGACAGTCAGGTTTTTACTTAGGTTTTTAGAAGTTTACTTTAATGACCATTACTTGACACTTGCATTCTGTAAATTATTGGAAAACTACATAAAAATACACCTCCTTCGAAAAAGCCTGTTCTCTGATTTTTCAGTATGATTTAGTCAAGAAGCAGTTTTCAGGTCCAGAGTGGAAATTAGAAACCAAAAGGAGGAAGAAAAGAGGCATTAGCTCAAGTGTTAAGGATACAGTGGGACAGAAAATGCAAGTCCAGATCCCTGCTCTTAAGTCCTTTCAATGGACAGACTTAAACCTAGGTCTTTCATAGTCTAGTAAGTGCTCTTATTTTCAGACTAAGGCTGGCTCCTAGTTGATGATAATTTAATCATTCATATAAAGCAAAAAAGTCCAGACATTGAAAGACATTCATGAAGAAAAGGGACCTGGCTCCAGGTTTTTTCATATTCTGCAACTAACCTAAGCACCAGGTGTGGAGTCAGTCTGTAGTTCTGTGTTGTTCACCATGAAACTTATCTGTGTGCTGTGATGGAATTCTTCAGTAAAATTAAAAAAAGAACAACAAAAAAATGACAGCAGTACCAAAAAATGGAAAATACAATCAGGAGAAACTGCATGTTGCATCTTACTCTGACAGTTTCTTTCTCTACACAGGCTGGAAGAAAACTACATTGTTTGTGAAGGAGTTTGTTTACCAAGATGCATCCTTTATGCACATTATTTGGACTTCTGCAGAAAAGAGAAGCTGGAACCTGCTTGTGCTGCAACTTTTGGGAAGGTAACAAGTAAATGCCTTCATAATTTTTTAGATTAATCGTTTGACAGAATCACAATTTAATACACTTATGTCAAAATTCCTCTGAAATTCACATGTTTTCTACTGCTAATGTACATGGAATCAGACTAACTACAAATACACTGTCTCAGTGGGGTTTCATAACATCACCTTTTGGAGACAGAAGCTGAAATTACCTTTTATTTATTGTTATTCTTTAAAAAAAAAAAGGCTTCCTCTCTGAGTGCCTTTTTTTTTCCTTTTTGTTGATGACAGTGATAGGTTCTTTCTGCAAAAACAAATTGGACATGGGAGACACATAATTACACTGAAGGCAATGTAAAGTGAGATGTGACACTAGAAGCAATACTAGAAGGGGAATAAAAATTAATAACACAAAGAGCTCCTGAATGAAAAATTGTCGATTCCACAATTTCTGCCCTTCCCTACAATTAATCCTGAAATAATTTAATGAAAGGGATATATGAACTCTCCAAATTAAATCCTGAGTATTTAGTGAAACAGGAAACCAAAAATGCTTCAAGGATCATCTTTTTTAAAACACTACTGATCTAGTAATGGTTTATACATAGCAAATTGCATTAATTTAATTGAATAATAATAATGGATTTAAAATCCAGTTTATAAAATGTTCGCTTCGTATATTTTCCTCTTGAATTGGATATATTGAGAAATTGTATGTCTAATTTTCATTACACAGTTTCAGTACAAATAAGAAAGAAAATAGCTTTTCATTTAAACATTGTTTTGACAGTGACCTATTAGATGTATCTATTGGATCTACTTTTAGTACTGAATTAATTTTTCAGACCACACTTTTCAAATAAAAATCAATGTATTTCTAGTTGTTTCTCTTTGAAGACAGAATAGCTAGAGGGCAGAATTTTCCCTGGTTTTGTTTACATCTCTGAAGCAAAAGATAAAGTTGCATTTTAGGAACTTGAACGAAACAGGATCATGGTGAAGAAGCCTAGATTTTAAAATGTAAAACTGAAAACAGAAAGGGGGAAAAGGTGGCAAGACTGCAGATACACAGCAAGATGGATGAGCATGGAAGAAATCCTGAAGTGTGAAACATGCTTAATCATTTATGTTGTACCGTATATGTCACAAACATTTATTCATGAACAACCTTAGATCATATATTTACACTACAATTTTTCTATGAGCAGATTACTAAGAAAGTATACCAGTGTTAAAAATTAATACAGTTATTTTCTCTTTAGACCATTCGCCAGAAATTCCCTCTCCTTACCACAAGGCGGCTTGGAACAAGGGGCCACTCAAAGTAAGGCACAATTATATTCACTTATGTGTATTCACTTATGTGTATTCACTTATAGAACACATTTTAGGAATTACATGTATTTCCATGTCTCTTTAATAAATATTAATTGGCGTAAATACTAATTATTCAGATCATACACTGCAAGTGATAAATTTCATGTACATTAAACTGACACTTAAATTCAAACTCGAAAGTTTGAATTTAAAAACATTGCTGTGGGTATAATTTCTAAAATCAAACTAAGTTTCTAAATCTTGTTATCGTATTTATAGATCCTTGCATTTGTTGAAAATATATGTCAAAATGTTAGATATAAAAAGCATTATATAATACATATATCTTTTTTACAGTTGCTCATCTTTCTATAAATAGATTTTATTTCCATTTTGCAAGCATAAAAACTTCCATTGTGTTCTGTATGTAACAATATGGATTCACTTAAATACACTACAAAAAAATGTTGTTTTAAATTGAGAAGAAGGTATATGTCTGCTCTTTGTTGTGGGTATCTTACAAAACTCTACTAAGCACACAGCCTATAATGCAGTCATTTCATAAATCCAATTCATTTGTATATTTGATCTGTGGAACATTGGGTTGTAGAAATAGGTCACAGATGATCCTATATCACCTATGGTGAAATGTTTATTAGTTCTGGTTCTGGCACTGTGCTTTTGTCCATAACAATGTTATGTAAAACTGTTGTGAACAGTGGCAACAAACGTATTCCCTCACATCCATTCTGCTGATGAATAAGATAGAAAACTGGAATAAAAGTAGTAATAGAGGAAACTCAGACATTGTATGTTTGGGAAAACTCTTAATTTTGAACTACTTAGCCTTGAAAGACAAAGTTACTCAGGTCTTTTAGCACTTTATAAGCAAAACTCAAAGCAAATAGAGACTGAAAAGTAAAAAACCCTACAAGACTGGTTTTCCTAAGTGCTTTGCAATATACTAGAATTATCTGAAAGAAACATTTTTTACTTTCATAATTCTTGGGGTTGTTACATGTTATACTTGATTTTCTTCTGCCTTACAAATATAAGAAATAGCTACTTGATTCCACCTTAGTTTTGCTGAAGAATGCATGTGAGATGTCATTTGTGGATTTTAGGTTTTGTTGCAGAAAAAAAGGAAAGTGGGGAAGAATATAAATTCCAAATTTTTACCAAGACATTCTATTTCTTGAGTATGCCTTAAGTGTTTATTTTAAATAACCATTAATGAAAGTAAAATCCAAAGGAAACAAAGCCTGTATAGAACATTATTATTTTCTTTTCTTTTTTTTTCTTTTTTTTTTTTTTTTGACAGAGGACAGTTCTTGTATAGTTTCTATCACAGAGTTACAAATTTGTAATCCATTGATCTTTTTTAGGAGATGGTACACAGTCTGCATTGTACAGAGGGAAACTGGAACTAAAGTTAATTTCTTTTTTTGTAGATGAACTATAGGTGCTGAATAGAGGGGTTTTGAGGAGAGAAACTATTAGAAAGCTTCTTTATTGGGGAAAAGAGGGATTTCTGTATTGTCTGCTGTGGTGAACTTAAGCTATGGATGCAGGCATAAGATGATGTAGACAGAGCTTTACAGATAGACATTTGCTGCTAATCTGTACAGTACTGTTTGACAACCGACTAATTCATCAGTGTCTTGGTGAATTTTTGCTCAGGTTCATAATCCAACACATTTGGAGAACAACTTATAAACTATAATGAATGAGATAATACAGGAAAAAGTCTCCCACATTCTCATTATACATTATATATATATCCAATCAGTAGCTAAACTTCCAAAATGTATCATGTGTCTGCATAATTTAAGCACAGTAATTCAACTTATATTAAGCAAATGAGTATGTTTAAAAGGGGTATCTAGCTACAAAAATCAATTGTTTTGGGACATGTGTCACTATATTCCACTTTTCTCTAAGACATTTAAAAATGTTAGTATAGATATAACTCATGCCCAACATTTCTTCGGCAGATTCCATATCCCTACTTACCTTGTTGGTATTATGTGCCAAATCATATGGATTAACTGTTCTTGAACAATTTCCTCAAAGGGGTGAGGCATCTGCTGGTTTTGTTTGAACATCTGGCACTTGTTTCTCCTTATTTTTTTAATCAGAGTTTTTGTTAGAGACTTTTCCTCTGCAATTCTCGTTTCCACTAAGATGCATTTACATTGATCTTGCTGTGTTAAAAAGATCCTCACAAAAGGCGTAAATGACAATATCTCCAGTTCAGAAACTGAATACAACAGCAAGTAGTCATAGAGAAGTGGCAGTATAAATCATAGAATCATAGAGGCATAGAATAGTAGAATGGTTTGTGTTGGAAGGGACCTTAAATACCAGCTAGTTTCAACCCTCTGCCACAGGCCAGGACACCTTCCACTACACCAGGTTGCTCAAAGCCCCATCCAGACTGGCTTTGAACACTTCCGGGGATGGGGCATCCACAGCTGCTCTGAGCAACCTGTGCCAGTGCTTCACCACCCTCACAGTAAAGAATTTCTTCCTAATATCTAATCTAAACCTACCCTCTATCAGTTCAGTGATCTCTGACTATCTATTTTTCTACATCTGGTGTTGTGAACCATATCCCCCTCAGAACCACAGACTTACTGAGGAGCAAATTAATTTCTAATTTCACCAGGTAGCAGTTTGTCACACAAATATCATTTACAGAAGTATTTCCATTAAATTGATAAGCAAGTTAAAGGACTGATCATCAGTTTTGGGAAATTGCTAGTCACCCTGTTTTCATGTCACACAGACTCTAAATGTTATAAGCTGTTTCTGGGTTACTGAGACTGGTAAGAGAGTTCTTACTAGCAGTTAAATGATATTTTTTAAAGCATGATAGTACAGTGACATTGTATTATTTCTATCATTGCTATCATTATTACCATATAATACTAGTAGGAGCAGTATTAGTACTAACTATTCCTAACAGTGATGTTTTATTTGGCGGTATTGCCTAGGAACTCTGATCATTGTCCAGGACTCTACTGAGTCAGATGCTGCAAAAGCATGAAAGGAAAGAGACAATTCTCCTCCAATGGAATCATTGTTCTTATATTGCAAAGAAAAGTTAATTCCCCAGGAAAAAGGTACTTTACTGGACATTGCATGCATACACAGCAACCTATTGATAGAGCCTGGCTGTGACCAGGAGAAAGCAAAGAAAATCAGTTCCCTTTTCCATCATCTTGAAAGTGACAGAAATTGTTTTTCTCCCATACTGAAACAAGGCCAAACTCTCTCTAACATTCTCATGAGCATGAATTGGATTTGAGAAAGAGCTCTTGCTCTAATGTGTGGAATCCAGTTGCTGTTTTAAGGTGTGAGATACACAATTGTTAGCTCCTCCTGTGATCCCAAGCAGCGCTAGTCATCTCCAGTACTGGACAAAGGACAGACTTAAAACTGGGTCTAATGATTCCTAGAATTCAAGTCAGAGCCTCTTTTCCTCTGTGTTCACATCCAACAACCCATTTAGTGTCAATAATAAAACACTCATTTAAATATTCGGCCAAGAAGTACAACACATTGGACACAATTTTGTTAACAAAGTTCATTCATCTCTCATACCTATGCCAATCACTCTATACTGTTCAACGTAAAGGAAATTTTCTATATTCCCACTCAGTGAAAGAAGGCCCAGTACCATAAATACTGCAAACTGCTCTCTTAGATGAGTATTTCATGAATAACAGTTCTCTGTGCAGCAGGTCCTGAATCCACTTTTTTGCATAGGTAATGTTGAACATACTGTGATAACTGATAGAACTCAGTTATAACCTTCATGGTACATGAATTACAAGCAGCTATTTGGGAAAATGTACAAACTGCTCAATCCATAAGCACAGAAGACTGTTTGAGCTCAAGTTACAATTTAATTTCTTTGTAGACTTTGATCAATGATGAATCTTAGCTTTTATCCATCATGTCTGAAAACTATTATCTTATTTATTAGGAGTGATTTAGTGGGTTAATAAAACTGATATGGCAGCTGGCCCTGTGATAACAAGTTATTGCAAGTCCCTGAACAGCTTAAGCCTATCATTTCCTTATCAGCTACATTTGTGTCAGTGTATGCTAAAATCAGGACTACAAGTAGCATAGGAACATATGTTACAACAAACCACTGAAATAAAAAGAGAAAAGCAGTTCAACTTGTTTTATAAAATGTTTGTTTCAAAAATTGAAAGTAACTTCCTTTTGATGACTTGTTAAATTTTATTAATTATACAATAGAAATATAAATAATAAAATACAGATAAACTGTACATACACATAAAAATATGCTCATAAAGAGACAGAAGGCATTTGAAGATGTAGGTTAAAGATATTATCGGTGTGTCTGGGTTTGATATACTACTCTCAATAGCGAGCCCAAAATAACCTATTCAATTAATGACTTTGGCTTGTAAGAGAATAATAATCTTCATACCCTATTACTCTATGAAGTATGCCAGACAGAGAGTGAACAGTAAGATTATATTATTTTTAATTGTTTCTGTGTCATGACCAGAAAACTGTATTTTGTAGTACTAAAAATTCAGCTATAGAAATCACTGAAGAAAGTCAGAACGACAAGTGTTGTGCCTTTAATACACACAGAATATGTACGGAAAATATCTATACAGAACAAAATGTTTCAGTGATAAATTTTGATATTTTGGGGCAATCCAGCAGGAATAAGTATATTTCCTCCCACTGGAAACCTGAGAATCTAAATCACATGATAGTTCCTGTTTCTAACCCAAATATATTAATATTGAATTAGATGTTGAGTAATCTAGATATTGAATCCTAACTTTGTAAGGAAGTAATGATTTTCCTTACCTCTGGACCACTCCAGGGAGGGTATGTTAAATTTGTGGTGAAAGTGTAAAGTTTTATTTTTAGAATTTAAAAAATGGCATGTGATTGAAACTGGGAGATTTAAGCTACTGGAAGGAGATGTAGGCAACTGCTTGCTTACACTGCCAATGAAAAATGTGCAGATAACATTGTTAAAGAAGTGGTCACAGCTCTATTTTTTTTTCATTCTGTTCAGTGAACAACCTTTACAACGTAAAGACTAAGTAAATGCTGTTATTTCATAGAACCCATACATGTATATTTTCAATACCTCTTGTGTCACATCTAAAATTACTTAATTTTCATGAAAGAAGAAAAAAATGCATTTGTGTCAGAACTCTGTCAAATATTAGGAATTTCCATATCCAGGTCTTTAGCCCAAGTCTGTAAGTTTAATACTCCTAAACCAAAAATGATGGATGAAAATCTTCAGGACTTTAGCTCACAACATAGGTGACACATGTGAGCTGGAGGACAACCATTTAGTACTGTAACATTTAATGAAAGGTTCCATTGGTATCCTAAACCACACTGAGGTGTCAGTTTGATCAGCCTGACTTTAACAGAGAAAAAGAGAACTGTTATGAGTAGATGGTCCTATGTCTGAGCTTTTATGTTAACAGGTATTTAAAAATAGTCAGTTTATCACATCATCATCCCTCAGAAAAATGAGGGCAAGAAAACTAAAAGTGAATAAAGAGGGGAGAAACTTTTGGCTTTCCTAAGGGTTGACAGGTGCCACAGTGATATAGCAGTGTTGTGTAGACTCATCAGTTTCAGGAAAACACTAAAAGTGATGATGTTTAACAACAGCACTTTTCATCATGCTTTTGGCTGTAAAATCCTGAACTCACACAACAGACTGTCCAGTAACAGAATATTTCAGCTGAGATTTTCAAAGCCACCTAGGCTAGGCAAATATATCATACTAATGAATATTTTCTTAGCTATAATTTACATCTAATGCCTTTAATCAGATTTGTAAATATAAAGCACTTGAGGATTTTGTTCTTACCTGTGATAGTCCCATGCAAGAACAAACAAAATACTGTGATTTTTTTTTTAATGAACATCATCAGGAACAGCAGAAATGAGATAAACACTTTTGTTAATGTGTTTTATGAACTATTTGTTGGGTCTTTGTGTCTTAAGAATGCATTTCTTCAAGCTTTTGAGAAGTTTCAGTGAAATCAGTGCAATGTGTTGCAGTGTACCTCTGAGTTAATTTTGATTTACACACAATGTACTCAAATTGCAAGTGTTACTTCGAAGTAGCTCGGTTAAACCAGCTGCTGTAGCATTTTCAAGCTAATTTTAGTAAAAAACAATTGAACCTGAGTACACTATCCATAACATTCTTAGACAAATTTCATTTAACACAATCAGTTTTTAAATCTACAAGACAGGGGCTATCACCTTTGATAGATGAACTCAAGCAAACTTTGCTATGACCAGTAAGGAAAGAGCTGCCCCCAGCTTGCTCCCCTGCCCTTCTCCAGAAGGTCACTTATTTTGTAGCAGAGTCAGTGGAAAGCAGTAAGTATCCACTGCACAACCAGTTTTCTCAGCACCAACACCCCTCTTTAGCACCTTTGCTGTCTTGAATTAAGGTGTTGGGCATAGCACTGCAAAAGGCATGTTTCCTTCTGCAAGCTCTATTTGGGAGCAGTAATCTCCAGGAGAGCTGCAAGGGAGACAAATGTGAATAAGAACTGCTTAAATGGCTAAATAATTCAGAATTAGTCGGCCTACAACGCGACAGAAGAGTGAATGTTAGCATGTTAGCATTTTTAGTCTAGGAGGCTGAACACTAAGTTATAGGGTACACCGACAAGCTATTTTCAACTGAGAAGTACTCTGAGAGACTGTCTAAATAAAGCAGTGGTAAGACAGATAAAATAAACCTGGTAGATCAAACCCAGCACCCTTTCAACAAATGAAGTCAAATGAAACAGAATGCATATTAGGGAAAACAGATGTAATATGTTTCTGTATTTTCTGTTCCAGCTACATTTTTGTAAGAGAGAAAGTATTTTAAATTTAAAGAAGACCCTATCCTTGAATTTTTGATAAAATCATGACAATAATGTTTTCTATGAGACCAGATTGTATTCCATGTCAGTGGAAGGAATTGTTAGACACAGTTTAGAAAAGTTTTCATAAAGCATTTAAAATCAATTAGACCACTTGCTTTACTTGACATGTCACTCATAAACTCTCCTCTTTTTTTTTTTCTCCACAGGTACCACTATTATGGAATTGGCATTAAAGAAAGCAGCGCATACTACCATTCTGTGTATTCTGGAAAAGGCTTAACCAGGTACAATAACATAACTTCTGAGAGTTAGTCAGTGAAGGTCTAACTTTAACCTTCCCTTAGAAGGTACTTGTAGGACTCTACTTTTTGTTTCTACCAGAACTAGTATTGCTGCTTATCTCAGTGTTTGTTTTAAGATGTTGTTTTAGATATTTTGCTAGTGTCTTCCAATCTGACCCCACCACAGTCAGTGTAGAGCTGCATCAACTTATGACAGAGGAGCATTTGTTCAAGTTTGTATGAGGCAGAAAAATCCCATTTCCAGGGCACTTGTCTCATTTTGTTTGCTTGTGTGTCACCCTGTGAGTTCTTTCCCCAGGACAGCTTTCCATTATGAAACGTCTAGAGAATGGTGTGAAGCTGGCACCTGTGGGGCAGGAGGGAGGGGTCTGTATAGATTAATATTTACAGGTCCTTTGACTGGCTAATATCAGTTTAAACCTAACCCAGGAAGCTCTAATTATATTTATTTAAGGGACAGCTAGTAGGATCAATACTTTACGATAGCTGCCTGTTGGTTTGCCAAAGATTAATAGTTCGTAAAACAAATGTCTCTGTTCACATATGGCTTGAATGATGGCTTTCATTGTCTGTGGCAGTATACCTGTATAAGTGGGACTCTAAGAAAGGAAAGGAATAAATGAGTTTATAATCACACATAGAAAATTCAGCTGGTGGCAGATTTAGGTTATATTCAAAGAGACCTTTTCCAAACAATAGGACAGTTGTAAAAATTGAGGGTAATGTTTCCAATGATGCTTAAAAGGAGGGCTCTCTCCACTTCAGGACTTAGGGTGTAATAGATTCAAATGTGCTATTTCCTTATCCAGTATTTATCCAGAGCTGCGGAGGTGTTGCTGGTACACACTGTATTATTCTTTCATAATACAGAATTATTTCAAACAAACTGTTTATCTAATTGACTAAAAGACAGTTAATTTCATTCAAGGGAATATAATAACTCTTATTCCTCAGCTTTATGTCAGGCAGTGCCTGTTCATGTAAAGCTCTGTCTTTGCACAATCTAGCAGCACTGAATGCAAAGAAAGTCGAGGTCGTGCAAAGTTCCCCACGGCTGGATTTCTGACAGCATACACACACATAAAGATGGCAGAGATACTCTCTAAGATTTTCAGGAATACTCATGAGATACAGTACCTAGGAACATTTTCTTTGCGTTAGGACCTGTGCTGCCCTATATGAGATGTTGAATTTTCAGGTTCTGGCAGTCTAATTGCCTCCCTAGCTGATTTAGAACAGAAGCTCAAATGCTCATTTTGTACCATCTGGACCACAACTGTGGTTAGATTTTTCTGTGTGAACAGAATAAGGCAGTACCCTGGGGTTAACAACAAGCTTCTGGATAGGGAAAGAGTCAGGCAGTGCAGGGATTCATAGCTGAAACTCCCCGTTGCTGGCTGCTACATATAGTGATCCATAAAATCTGTCCTTTGTCTGATATCTCTTCTAGGTGAGCTATAAAAATGGTTCCTGGGTCAAAAATAGGCAGGAAAAATATATGGGTTGATAATGATGTCAGATCACATCATGCCCATGCACAAATACAGACATATGGAGGCCTTTACCACAAGGTTTGCATGTCAGCTGGCAGCTTGACCAGAGATTAGATGGGACAATGGGCTTCAATTTAGTTGCCTAAATATAGACCTCTACACTGCAATTTCAAACTTAATTTACATTCATGTATTAATATTTAGGTAACTGAGCTGAGTACAATAGTCCTTAAATGCAAGGTTGCAGTGCTTGAATCTTTAAATTGTAAATTTGACCTCCTGATTCTCCTAAATATCAAACCTTGCACAGTGAAAGGAGCACACCTAACACCAAAAATGGTTTGTATCCACAGCACTGCATGAAGGGTAGCTTTAGCTAGCAATTAAGGCTCCGGAAGAGCACTGCTAGCAGGTGCTGCCTCACATTTTTACTGTACATTCTGTGTACATTTTGCTGAACATGCAGAAATCCAGAGCCCATAACAAATATATCTAGCTAGGAAGTTAATTAGATCTATGTTGAAATCAGCTGAGTAGTGCTTTCATTTATACTTATCTATCAACAGGCAAGGGAATGCTGTAGGTAACATATGCTGGATCATCATGGGGTGGGAATTGTTAGGCACCTGTGTTTGTCCCAGGCAGGAGGAATTCCACAACTACTCAGCCTCTGGTTTTCTGTCCTGCCAGCAGAGCATCTTAACAGCAGGAAACCACAATACTGCCCCTAATAATTATAAGACTCCATGTTGCCCACAGTATCTTATTATTTGGCAGCTAGTGGTACAGGAAATAAAAATAGTCAAACAACATTTATCATTATACTGATCCACTAGAATCGCTGTTATTACACATTCTCTCTACTTTAGTAGTTATAATTTAAAACATGTGCTTTATGATTTCTGCACGGAAGGGTAGTCTGATAGTCCAATGACTTCATTGAGAATCTCTGGGTAGGACATTCACCATACTGCAACATATTTTTACCCATTAACAAGTCTTTGATCTCAGAAATGAATTTTATCAAAATAGTACTGTGGTGAGAAAGAATAGGAAATCACCATGATTTCCTAATTTTCCCAAGAACTGTAAATTCTATATATACTTTTTCTGCTCTGAATTTACTTAGATCTATCAAAACCTGTATTTATTTCCTCATAAAAATCTTATGGACTTGCATCTATGCTATCCTTTTGCTGTTTGTGAAGTTGCAAAGATCCAAACAAAAAGCTGAAACTGGGTTTTATACTTTACTGTTTAGTCAATGGTCTGAAGCTTCATGTTTTATAAGGCATCAGTAGGTTTCCAGATATCCTCAGGCATTTGCAAATCAGTGGAAGAAATTAAGGAAAAAACCATGACTTTTACTAGAGTTACATCTGGAAAAATGTGATAATTTTTCTAACAGATCTATTATTTATATATATATATATATATATATATATACCCCTATATGTACCTCATCTCTACAAATGTTCTGCTTAGGAAAAAAAATAACTGAATGTGTTTATTTTCAAAGGTTTTCTGGAAGTAAGCTAAAAAATGAGGTAAGTGCTGTAGCCTGTTTTCTTTTACTTCTGTTGTAATCCAAATATGAACTGACCTGTGATTTTCTTCACATTAATTTCTTTTAAAATTGCACCAGTATTTTTCATTACACATTAGACTGCATAATCTTTTTTGATGATGCTGAGTATTTGTTCCTCTAAATATTCAAAGAAAAATAAGATTGGAAGACACCTTCTAGGGTTCCCATGGCAATCCAACTCCCCATAACCATAGATGTTCATAATAGACCATGTTAAGTAAAGGATCAAGTTCTTACTTAATTTTTTGTATATATTACCTTTGCCAGAGGACTTTTTCAGAATCTCATTTGTCTGACTTGAAGCCAAATAGAAAGCTTTTTTATTCATAAACTGAAATTTTTGCCTTCTGATCAGGATTGTCTTTACTTTTTGCTCTTCGTGACATTGTGTTGTGATATGTCTTTTTGCTGCTTTTGCTTGTTGGATGGAACAAACAACAGCTTTTAGTAATTTCTGATCAACCTTTTGGCCTTTCACCATACTTGTTCTGATTTGAGTATCTTTGGAGTAAAAAAAAACCATAAAGCTTTGTAAATGGCATATTTACAATTTCTGTTGGAAATATCCCTTCTGCTGACCCCTAGAACAGGATCCAATTTTGTTGGTTTTTGTTCTCCCAAAGTAGTCTACATTTTCACAACTCTATACCATGGTATAGTCATTGTCATTACAGTCATATTTATACCAGAAAATTATGTATTATTGTGCAATAAAGGTTAAGGGTTGATCCTAGTATTTTTCTTTGACACTGAGTTCAGCTGGCATGGAATATCCTGCATCCATATTATTAAACTCCTGAACCTGCAAAAGAACGTAGGCACATCTCAGCCACATTGCCACAGAGAAACATCCCTAACATGCAGTACCTGTTGAAGTATGACCAGAAAGTGTTTGGGATGCCGCTAATTGGCATGGGCCAAAAGAATGCCAGAGACCATTCTGAATAATAGTGTTCCAGTATTGCCTGGGAATGTTTCCTGACACCATTTAATTTACTAGACTAGATATGCATTCTGTGATCAACTGATACACAGCAAGACTTTCACCTTTTTCATTTCCAGATAAGCAACTCCTAGCTAATAGCAGACATTCTTATTGGTCCCTGAGAGTGTAGTTTTGCTCTATTGATTTTCATCCCCTTTATTACAATTATCTCAAAGCCATCCAGATCTTTCTACATGACCTCTTGGTCTTCCTCTGTTGATGATTTCATTAGCTCATGTCAACCAATTTAATCTATGAAATGTTCAGTGAGATCAGCCCCAAGTTTGAGCTTTGAGAATCTTCCCTTCAATCCCTTTTCAACCCAGTAGTTTACCTGTCAACACAACTTGTTAGCCTTTCAGCTGGAGTCAGCTTCTTAAACATTTTTACATTCTTTTACTAATCCCCACTCTCACCAGTGTAAGTAATCATTTCCCATGGTGACACCACATCGAGCATTTTAGTGAGGTTCAGATAGATTAGATTTGCTGCAATTTCCCTGTTCAGATAATCAGCTATCTTATCAAATACAGATACTGCTATGCCATGGGATATTCCCAACAAATTCATAAGCACTACTGCAGCATTCATTTGTTCAGTTTTGGGACGGAATACATCTAGTTCCCTTGGCATAAATGAATGCATATTTACTTCCATCTCTGATGTGGCATTCCCAGTTTGCCTTGTAATTCAAAGTCCCACAAATTTGTCTTCTTTCTACCCCAAAGTTCCCTTGTCTTCCCAGAAAAAATGTTCACAGATGACGTGGTAGAGATATGTGAGAAAAGGCACATCAGTATGAGTTTTTGATTGTCTATCTCTGTGTTGTCTGAAATTATTCAGACAGTTCTTAAAAGAAAAAGGTCTTTCATAGTCAAAACTGAACTACAGTAATTTCAGCCTATGGAAAATTTGGCATCATACTTTCCATTAATATGAACAGGTAATAGATATATCCTTACTCATTTGCTTGAAAGTACATGCAATCAGGTATTCCAGAAAGATTTACAATGATTGCATAAGGTCTAATTCCCAGTAGGAACATAAAGACATTGAAAAGATGTTGAAGCACTGATTGTCTAAATATAATGAGTAAATGGCATTTGAATGAATACTTATTGAGTGCCAGGGACACTGTTTACTTCTGGTATGTTTTATCGCATTTTCTAGTATTCTCTCTGTAGGGGGAGATATCAGCAAATTCTTTTATCTAAACCAGTTAGTGCACCATTAGAGTCTGTATGGTTAATTAGGCAGATAATATTACTGTCATTATCTTAATGTTAAATGGCCATTAGAAACAGATGGCCTTAAATTGAAAGGGCAAGTGGCAGCAGGTTAAAATATTAAGCCTAGAACTGAGGCACAGTCATATATAAGTCCATTAGCAAGGTAAAAAACATTGCATACTATCTTCTTTTAAACCTCCCACCACAATCACTACTTCTTTTAAATAAGCAAATCCCTTTTAATCAAAGCTTTTAATATATTTCATGGGTAATTGCATAATAAAATCACTAAGACTACTCCTGTTATAAAAGAAACCCCAAAAGAACCTCCTTATATTGATAGGCGATTATAACACCAAAAGTATTGACACAGAGAGGTACTAAGGTTTCTAAATTTCTATAATTTCTTTGACTTAGAGCTTTATATGTGTTTGCATAGTAGATAGCATAGACAAAATTCATTTACATAGTGTATGCTTCTGTTTCTTGCTGTCTGTTTTGGCAGACACATCTCCCTCTAAAAGTAGGGCTATATGTATGTTGAATAAGTCAGTTACAGCTATAGTTTTCTGAATTCAGTATTTGAGAGAATTTCACTTGAAAATGGCCTCCAATTAATGAGTCAACATTTATAGATATATAGTCCCCTTGGCACACTTTTACACTGTATGTTGCACTCTGTAACTACTATTCCCACTTTAGAAAAATCTGACTGTATGCCAAGAGGTAGGAAATGGTCACTTCAAGTTCCATTCAAAAGCCTGTTGCATGATCATAAATTTCATCCATTAGGACAGAGGGAATCTAAGCAGAAGTAATGGGTTTACCACAGGAATATGCAGAAGGCTAGCTTGTGGCTCTGTACACTGACTTGATGTAAGGACTGGTTAGGCTAAAATGGAACAAAGGGTTTCAGCCAAACAGTCTTTAGATTTGAATGCAATCCTGTGAGAATAAGTACAGTTCAGTCAGTAAGGACAGAATCATAATACAGATTGTATTGTTTCTCTTGAGGATGAGGGTTTCACCTTATTTATAGCATTTAGGATCTTAATAGGCCTAATAAGGTGTGCATTATAAGTATAAACATAATTACCCTATATTACTACAAGATGTACTCAAGATCTGTTCTCAGTCTGTAAGTAGAACAAGATGCGTCTACAATATTTTAGATATCACAAGCTAAGGAGACTTAATATGTGAAATCTAAGAACAGAAAGAAACTCTCAGATCAGCAGAATTTAGCATAATTCAGGAGGAATTTATCTTGTGTCCAGGTCAACATTGACCATGTCCCAGCAAAGTGGAAAACACTAAATGGGAATATTTTACTGAGAATGGGAATATTCTTCCTGCGATGTAAAACTGGGACTTCATGTCAAGTCTGCCACAATCACAGAAAGCTAAATACATGGTACAGAAGTATCCACAGATCATATATACCATCACATCCATAACACCATAAACTATTACCAAACTTTATGATAAACTAAAATAACAGTTGGCATAGTAAAATAGCTGAAATCATGAAGGCTCTGCTATCAGAGCAGGAAGAGAGCGGAGGAGAACAGTAATATCTCCACTACTCTAGATCCTTGCACTAGAAAGATACATATTAAATAAAATTTAGGGTCTCCTTGAATCATAGGATCACAGTCCACACTGAAGAGAAGAGTAGCATTTTACTTTAGCTTTTAAACATAGATTAAATTCAAAGCTTGTAGAATTCCATGAAGTAATGTGTCTCAAATGCTACTTCACTCTGAAAAGTGTGTTTGATGGAGTTTAAATCTAGACAAATATTTCATAACTTTCCTGAGCTGGTATCCAGATCTGGATAAGCATCAATATTTTTGAAGGATTATCTGAATGCAAGTATTCTGATATGTAGAGAGACTTACGAGATAATATACAAGTTTAGCATGATTTGTTGGTTTCAGTTGTATCGATATTAGCTGTTTCCGTTTTTTCCTTTCTGTTTCAGGGTGGTTTTACTCGTAAATATTCTCTGAGTTCCAAAACTGGAACACTCCTCCCAGAGTTTCCAAGTGCTCAACACCTTTTGCTTCAAGGGTGCATTTCTAAAGACAAGGTAAAATGTGAGCTGCTTCTTTTCCGACTTTAAGATCAAAAATTTGCCACAGAATGTTTCTTCGTATCTTAACCTTTGAGGTATTGACATGAAAGAGCCAGAAATGTCCATAATCAAATAGAGGTGACTGATTTATAGAGGGGGCAAACCTTTACTAACACCGATTAACCGGCTTTCCACTGGAAAGGTGGTTGAATTATTTACCTATTAACTGACCCAGTATTTTACAAACTGATGGTATGTAAGACGGGGAGAGCAAAACAAACAAATAACTGAGAGTTGTATTCTTTCCAAATACCTTTGGATTTAAGGTAAGTTTTTTGTTCTGATTAGAACAGAACAAATAATTCACAACAAATAATTAGATGAATTTTACTCTCTTTCATTGTTTGAAAAGAGACCGAAAATCTGAACACCTGGGGCTTTTTTTAATTACTAAAATCATTCCTCAAATCAATATTTAGTATTGCGTATCCTAAGTATAACTCTTCAGTTAAAAGTATCTCTCATGTTTTATGTCTTTGACTCATTGCCTGTGTGTTATGTCTGTGTTGTTCCTGGTCACATTACAGGCTGCTACATCCCTGAACTGTTCTAGAAACCTTTTGATAGACATTCTGAACCCTCCAATTTAGCCTCCAGTGCAGGTCATGATGGTGACTGTTTTGAGATATGTTGCTTTAAAGCTTTTTGGTTTTGAGCCCTTCCTCTTAAGCTTTTTTCTGGGAAAGTAGTGAAGCCTAGGATTCCTGTAGTGAGAAGCTAAACAAAAGGAGCCATCTTAGCTGAAAATATTACAGTTTCTAAAGAAAGCCCAGGTGTACTCAGCAGTGTGCACCACCTGTTGCTATAGCCTCCATCAGTGAATTGACATCTCTCCCATATATAACAGTCTCATAATATTTAAATCTGAAGAACATTTGAGGTTCCTTGCAAACCCAACACAGCACTGTAAACAAAACTGATTTTTACTACTCCAACGATGAAGAAAAATTTGCATCTATTTTCCCCTTCATTTTTTAATCAACAGCATTGTGCCTGACTGTCTGGAGACAGACTTGTGGAGTTGTAGGAGACTGAGAAGAGAGATGAATTTCAGTGTATCTCCTGTGCTCTCCTTCCTTGCTACTCTTTCCTCATTTCGAATTCTCTTATTTCCTGCTTTCTTTCCTTACCATCTTTCCCCTCCTTCACCTTATCTGACCAAGGATTATTGAACCTAACATACTTAGGCACGCTGTTGAAGACAGTCCATACATGAGGTTTGACTCCTGCATTAAACTCCTAGAAATTTCTTGCACCTGAAATGTCTGAAGAGTCCATAAACGTAGCATTCTGCAATAAAATAGATGGGTAATTTCTGCATTTAATGTTTCTGAAGAAAACTTACCTAAACTTCAAACTTCCATCAACCCCTTTCAAAAACAATTCTTTAAAATGTTCTTAGATCTCACACTTTACCATTGTTTTTCAAAGATACATAGTTACAGTAGCAGATCTGAAAGTCAGAAAGATTCTACTTTCAAAGAAATCTGCATGCTAAACCTGTGGCAATTAGATGGTACTAGGTTCATGCTAAATCTGATAGTGTTTTGCTGGAGAAGTTCACAAGCTGTGACAACTTTTCTGTGATTCAGGACCAAAAAAATTGTTTTGATAGCATTTTTCTTTTCTTAAAATAGTTTAGTGTATTTCTTGTCTTAGAATTTGCTACAAATTTTAAAAAATACTGCCTTTTTTTTTTTTGAATAAGAGAGCACTCCACTCAGATAAAGTAGCCTGATGAGATGAAAGGGAGTTCTGCTTTTTAAAGTTCAGTTCATGTAAGGCAGTGATTAAACTTTGACCAAATGACTGGCAGCTATTTTCTCATTTGTCCAAGTAGATGATGTTTCAGAACACTCATAGACGCCTATAGTAGCCTAATGATTAACTTGCACTGCTCTTTGGGATTAATCTTAGCTTCAGAAAGGTGAATTTACTTTACCATCTGACTGGATAATCTGACTATTGCCTTACTTTAATACCTACATTTTCACAGTGTATACATGTTCAAATGCTACATTTCTGACAACAACAATAAATGCTTGACTTAAATAATGCTTGACTAATAATGACTTAAAAATGTTGATAAAACTAGAGATGGGTGCCCTCCTCATCACTTCTGGATATACAGACTGCCTACTTGTGGATATGCATTGCAATATAGTTTATATTGTGTGTTTAAATAGCTACAGAAAGCAGAAACCTAGATCACTATAGCGGTAAAGGAGAGAGCTAAGAAACTCAGTTTTATCTTCCTTCCTTCCTTCCAAAACAGGTAGATACTCTTATTATGATGTACAAAACACACTGTCAGTGTGTCCTTGACAATGCAATTAATGGGAACTTCGAAGAGGTAAGGTTGTTTGAACACACGTTCTTGATATATATTCACAGGATACCAAGAAAGCATTATTTATGTCTATGAATCTGGTTCCTATTCCTTTAGATTCAACATTTCTTATTACATTTTTGGCAAGGAATGCCTGATCATCTTCTTCCCCTGCTTGAAAATCCCATCATCATTGACATCTTCTGTGTCTGTGACTCAATACTATATAAGGTAAGTTAAGCATTTAGCTACATGGATAATATCAACCACATTACAGCTTTTGTATCTGTAAAAACATACAATAACAGGATGCCATGACTGCTTTCTGCCTCTGCTGTGTAAATTGGCAAGGGAATCATTGAAATAAAGAAATAAAATGGGCACATGTAAGAGCTGAACTCCAGTCTCAGCTCTGCTGCACACTCGCTGTGTAACCACAGGTAGCACACTAACAATGAAATCCTGACCTACTTGCTTGAATGTAGCTAAAAGAAATGTTCATGTGCTTCACTGAAAAGGCTGACTAAGGTAATCCTGGATGAAAATGGAAGCCTTGTTTTCACTTAAAAGAGTACTGTAATTTCTACCAGCAAAGAGAGGCTGTGGCACATGGATGGGGTGATTCCACATGCCAGTCTGCTACTCACAGGTTATGTCAGGCCATGGTTTCATATTATGAAGCTGGAACAATACTGGGTTAAAATCTTCCTGCCTCTCCTGCCTGCTGCACTTCATATCTGTTCCTGTGCTGCTAGATGTACCGGAAAAGCTGCTCCCCTGTGAACTGGTTTGGGTTCAAAAAAAATTTTTAAGTAATACTTGTCTGCAGAGCTTTTAAGCCATGTGAGTTCTTTGATCTAGTTCATGGCATGATCACATGAAACAAAGTTGAAACATAGTTGAAACAAAGTGAAACTTACGAGTGTTGTAAGGTCTGGATTAGATGATAGTGCACTGGGGGGAAATAAAAATAAATAAATAAATAATGCCACCAAAGTTTCCTAAGTTTTTCGTTTCAAAAGTCAGATCAGATCATTATTTAATAGCTGCAAAGTACTTTAAGCTCCTCTGATAGGATATGTCATAGAAATAGAAAAGGATTGTCATACAGATGTCTCTCTAACAGATTTCATATCACATATTGATGGGAAGAAATAACTATTGGCTTAACAGTAAACACCAACCTGTCAAAGCAAGAGACTTGGGGCTGTTTAGCCCTGATGCCCTATTGTAATCTATTTGTCATTCTTTACTGTCCAAAAATATGGGGGAAAATCCAGAAATGATGAAAATATGTATTTCTTAGAAGCATACCAATCTGTGAAGTAAGAAGTAGTGTTTTAGTTACCACACGGAAGTAAAGGTAATTAGCATTGAGAATCATAATTACTACCCAGGAGATGAGCCATTAAGCCTCATTTACTTGTAGTGATTACATTGTACTTTGAGTTTATGAGATTTTTCCTGCTCTAAATGTGCTGTCTCAATAGATTCAATATTAACTTTATTCATGATAAAGATTTAATGTTATAAATTGAATAAGACAGAGTTTCTCAAAAGTTCATAAATTTACTATTGTGCCTCTTCTTTGTCTCTCACTATTTCTTATTAATAATCATGTTAGATGTTCTTGACAGCACAGTGACAAAAGGAAAGAGGAATTACATTGGATTGTTAACAAACCATTTACATTAACAATGAAAAGAGATTTTTGTGATATAGGCTAACAACTTTGCCCTCCACAATAATATTCCCCAAAGGCCATGCCAGATGGCACATTTTTTGCAAAAAGAGTTCCACACCATACTTAGCTACAGGGTACTATGGCTGAACTCTGAATGCTTTCATTGCCATGTCCAGTTTGGCAGAAAGAAGAGTCAACAGCACTCAAAGACTTGGGAGATGCTTGGGTATCTGCTTTACAGAGACTTGGTGATGCTAGAAAAGCTGAAGTGTATATGCACCTCATTTCTGCTGATTTCCCTACTGGAGGACATGTGGGATAGGATGTCTTGTTTTTCTTCTTGTTTTACCGGTATGCTGACATACATTAAGAATGGGAGCTATCAGTATATAAATATCTCATATGTTCCTATGTAATAGTGACTGGAAAAATCTAGGTATATAAATATATGGCCAATAGCTTAAATGGCTTTATTCTGTAAAAAAATTCTGTACTTATCACTTTACAATCTAAGTAGGCACGACAGACATGAATGAATGAATAAATGGTCAGTGGAAGCTTGATATAATTTTCTGTTAAATTTTTGAAGGTTCTTACAGATGTACTCATCCCTGCAACAATGCAAGAAATGCCAGAAAGGTAGGTATTTGACAATAATCACAATACATTCTGGCTTTTAGGCATATTCCAAGTAAATAGCAGTAATTCTATATCCTCACAGTATTTATACTCATTTTTAGAACAGTAGAGTATGTATGACAAAATACTGTCAGCTCTGAGGACACCTATAGGACAACCTTAAAATATTACACAGTATTTTAATGTCCCAATTGGCTTACAATTTTTCTTGAGGAGGTACAGATCAATATATTTTCAGTTTTAGCTAAATGATTGGTCATTTCCTGTTTCCTTTCGGTAATACCTGAGGAGTAATTAATAGATAAGTTAGTCATAGATTGAAACTCAATTATTTAAACTAATGCAAGACAATTTTTATTGGTGATTCTCTAAACCATGTTTTGGTTTTTTTTTTATAGTTTACTGGCAGATATAAGGAATTTTGCGAAAAACTGGGAACAATGGGTTGTTTCCTCTTTAGAAAATCTACCAGAAAACCTAACAGATAAGAAATTGCCTATTGCAAGAAGATTTGTTTCCTCCCTGAAACGACAGACGTCATTCTTACACCTAGCACAGGTAAACAGAATAAGACTATACATCAAAAATTTGTTAGTTATATTCAGTGTAGCTTTCTGGCCATGAGATATAATGCATTATTTTTTCAAGGTTGACCTTCAGCCATGGAAGGCTTACATCTTGTACTTTTAACCATGAAAGAAGGAAGTGACCATAAATAGATCTGACCAAAACTTCCAATTTTTGTAGTAGAAAAGAGAGCAAAGACCATGGTTATAATGAACAGCCGTCACTGCAACTTTTGGCAATCAAATGATGAAGTGGAATGCGTGTGTATTTGGTTTAGTTCCAAACTGGAAAATTTCAGATGATCTTCTTGCTTAGCAAAGGTTTGCTGTCTTGTCCATGATGTTCTTTAGTGAGCTTATTTCTGTTTGAGTTTTGAGCAAAAAGGGAACATGGGAGTGACAGGGAGTTGGGGACTCCAAGGCTGTGTTGTCTGGCTGCAGGTATCTGCAACTAGGAGTCACCTCCAGGTGATGGTTTTATAGATTATACAGAAGGATACAATGCCTTTTGAGCATTGCTCACTGCTAACAGCTTGGGCTTTGAGGTGGTTGTCCTCATGAATGACTATAAATGCACCATATATTCATCCTGACTTGGTTTTCTCTTTCACAAATATTAAGACAAAAGTAGCATGTGGGTGATACTGTGAAGATGATCTGATAGGAAGGCACTTTAGAAGAGCATTAGAAATCTGATGAAAGGGAAACATTATCTGATCTGTGAAAAAATCCAATCATGATAGTAAAATTAAACTTAAGGTGATCCCCAGGTGTGAGTCTGTCCTGGTTTTGGCTGGGATACAGTTAATTTTGTTCATTGTAGCTAGTATGGGTCTATATGTTGGATTTGTACTGGACACTGTCAATAATTCAGGGATGTTTTAGCTACTGCTGAGCAGTGTTTACATAGAGTCAAGGCCTTTTTGGCTTCTCACACTGCCCTGCCAGAGAGTAGGTTAGAGGTGCACATGTTGGTGGGAGTGGACACAGCTGGGACAGCTGATCCCAGCTAACTATAGGGACTTTCTACATCATATGGCATCATGATCAGCAATAAAACTAGGGGGAAGTTTGGCAGGGGACCACTGCTTGGGCAGTTGACTGGGCATCAGTCAGTTGATGAGCAGTTGTCTTCATTTGCATCACTTGTCTGTCTTGGACTGTATTTTTCTCTGGTTTTGTTTGTTTGTTTACTTTTTATTATTATTGTTATTGGTTTTATTTTTTCTTTTTAAAAGTTATTAAACTGTTTTTACCTCAACCCACAAGTTTTCTTACTTTTTCAATTCTCTCCCCCATTCCGTGACAGGGTGGGGAGTGACTGAGTGGCCATGTGCTGCTTAGCTGCCTGATGTGGCTAAACCACAGCCACATTTTACCTTGCTTTCTCTTGCAGATTGCTCGGCCAGCACTGTTTGATCAGCATGTGGTGAATTCCATGGTGTCAGATATTGAAAAAGTTGATTTGAATAGTATTGGTTCTCAGGCACTCCTTGCAGTCTCCGGGAGCACAGACTCTGATGGGGAGGTCTACAGTGAATGTAAGTCCATGGTGATACATTTGTATCATTACAATTCACTATTTCATTCCATGCCACACTATTTTACTTGGACTGACTGAGACAAGGCACACACAGACACTGCATTCTGTAATCTAGTACACTGTTAACTTCAGTAGCTTAAGAAAGCTTGTACTGGGAAGTCATCCCAGCTAGATGACTTTAAATGGTTGCTGAAAAATTAATTTACATGTCAGTTGCTAAGTGCAACCAAATCTCTTTTGAAATTTTGATGTAATTAAATGTGGATATTAGCACAGATCAATTCCTGAAAGATGTCTCAAAAATTCCATGTCATTATGGCTTAATGTAATGAATATTTTAATTTTTTTTAATGAATAGGGGTTTTTTTTGATGCAAGTTGATCTTAAATAAATTATTTTCTCTTTAGTGCAGCAGCTATTTTCATACACAAAACAGAGCGAAGTATAAATTCTGAGGGTGTTAATTTTCAAATACATACCAGTTGTTGAAAAATAAATATAGCCTTTTCATTAAAAAGATACCTTTTGTCATAAGAGTGATGTTGATCAGAGTTTGGAGAGCTGAAAGGAATAGCAATGTGTTGTCCTCTAAATATTATTACTTTGATAATGAATGTTTGTTCTCTTTAATGGTTCATAATCCTATTCACATTTTTGAGTTGCCCATTCTCTACTTTTTTGTATAGTTGTTTTTTATTTTATTCTTTGTCTTCTTTCACACTGGTTAAAAAAGAAAAGGAGAAGAGAAATAACTGGTCATTCAGGCACTTTTTTGAAAATGGGAATTGAGGAAGTTAACTTTGCATAACATAGTGAGAAACTTGTAAGATTTAAGGGAAACTTAAGACACTACAAATCTACCACATTACAGATAAAACTTTACTATTAAACTTAGTATTAGAAAGGTTTTCAAGGTTGAATCTTAAAAGGAATGAAAAATATAATCTTCTTTTGGTTTTATTTTCTTGTAAAACTTCATTGTCTTACAGCCCGTGTCATTATAATGCTTAAGTAATTAAAGTATTTATGACTGATGGATGTGTGTCTGCTTGCTTTGCTGGGGAATTACTTATTTCTTCATGGCTCTAATTCTTTGCTTTTCCTTTCCATGCTACAATATTGTCATATGGCTGGTGAGTGGCTTTTTCTTGTGTTCAGAATAGTGTGCAATGATATGTTCTCCTTTTTACATGGTAGATGACTCTATTACAGTGTTCCAAGAACTGAAGGACCTTCTAAAGAAGAATGCCACTGTGGAATCATTTATTGAATGGTTGGATACTGTGGTTGAGCAAAGGGTTATCAAGGTACCTTTCAAATGTTCTGCCTGACCCAAGAACAAATCCTACTCCCCTTACTCCTTACATAGACCCTTATGCAGTTCTATTGGTTTCCCACATGGGATTCTCATCTCTACCCCATCTCCTTGCTGTAACAGGGAATGTGAAAGATTCCAGTGCTGTTAGATCTAATTAATCATGTTGAGCCTGTTGAACAATCTTGCATGTGTGACCAATTAAGAAATACTGTAACTAAAACAGTAAAGTCAACGCTTTCATAAACTTTACATGAAAGAAACCCTTCCAGATTCTTTGTGCATGCAGGATCACAGAGGTATTTCTCAGTGAGTAAGGTGAGCAAAAGTTATTCCTTAGAGAAGCAATTCTTTCTTTCATGGCATTTGGTTGGTACTGTATGTGATATAAGTTACTGCAGCAGGTGGATTCAGAAGTAGCCAACCTCCAGAAGGATTTCTACATACCAGGATGAAAGATAGAGTTTTGTAGCATTGTAAGGTGCTGAACACAGTAATTGATGGTTTTGATGGGATTCCCCCGCCCGGCTCCAATTTACAAGATGCATTATCATCACGACTATTTTATATGCATGTAGTTATACAGGGATTAATATACTACAGCTCAGAACAAAATAAAGGAGTTCTGAGTTATATCTCAAGTAAGAGATATCTAATCAATTTGTGACTCTAATAACTGTAAACTAACAGAATAAGATGTTACACATTGCTTGCTAATAGTTGAACACAGTTCTCCTCATCAGATTTGTTCTATCTGGAAATGTAATAATTTATCCATCATTTTAGGTGGCATCTTAATATGAGTAGATGTAAAAGGATGAGACAGTGCAGTTAGCATCGACTGGCTGGCAGAAGAGTGACTGCCACATACAGGAAAACCATGGGCATGCCATTTTTCCTTTTTTTGCCTGTTTTCCCAAATTTCAATGGAGACAGTGATAGTTTCTTTCTTTTTAAAGTATTCTGAGTTTCCTAACATTTGCTGACATATGTGAACAGCACAATGAGGAGCTCTGGATGATTCAGGGCAGCATAGCCAAAACAAATCCTTATCTACACACAAGTCCCTCGTCAAAAAACTCCCACTGAAGCTGAGCAATCTCAATTTATTTTAGAACTGAATGATTATGGTCTAAAATTCATTCCACAATTTCAGAAGAAAATTTCTGATAAAACAAGTCAGGCAGAAAAGGTGAAGCACTTTTCCATTCAGCATCTACTATGTGCTTCTGTACTATTAAAGCTAACAAGTAAGGTTCCTACCATTGCTTTCCTGTAGTTAAGGGGACAAATACCAGCAAGTTCTGATATGAAGCTAGGTCAACTAAGCAGAAGCTAATAATTGACAGAACATGCAATCCTTCCATTGCTGTCTGCCTTCTGTTCATGCTAAAATGTGGCTACTGTCAAACTCGCACAACAACTTCTTTCTGCTTGGTGTTTGAGAAAGTAACAGGGCATATGTTACTACACGAACAAATCACTGCCAGAGCAAAGTGACAGTATGAAATGAGCAATATTAAAAGCATCACTTTGATCATCATGATAGTAAACATACCATTCTGTAAGAGAAAGTCTGGCCAGTATTATACAGATTAAATTGAAGTACAAGGACTAATTTCTATTCCCTCTTTATGTGGAATAACATAGTGCCAAAAGGAGGGGGAGTTTCTTTCTTTCTTTCTGCCTTATATTTATAGAACAACTTGGCACCTTTAGTACTAGAATATGAGGTAATCTATGTACCTTCAGGGCATATCAAGGCCCAAGCAGTAAGCAGTTTGTTCATCAAACATTGACATTCTACGAGCTCTGCACTGAAAAGGGAGAATCTTGCTCTTTTTTACCACATTAGGACACACATTAAGAAGATACTGTCAATCAAACAACTTGATTCACTCTGCCACATTAGCCTGAGTCAAGGACTCCTTGAACTCTCAAACATATTGAGTTCTTCTCTCCTGTGTGCAGAAAGCAGGTTACCATATTTAACAGTATTTTACTATTTTCTTTCAGGCAAGCAAGCAAAATGGGAGGTCTTTAAAGAAGAGAGCTCAAGACTTCCTTCTGAAATGGAGCTTTTTTGGTGCTCGAGTGATGCATAATCTAACCCTAAACAACGCATCAAGTTTTGGTACCTGATCATTAAAAAACAATCATATTTTGTACATATATGCCAGTATTTACCAGCTTTCCTGAACAGAGGAACCTGTCCTAATCTAAAGATGCTTTGATCAAAGCCACAAATGCTGTGTAATGTGTTTTTCAAACTAATATTTCATGTTAAATGCTAGCAATATTTTGGTGGTGACCTGTGTCACATGTTCATTTTTAAAACATTTTTAATTGCTGTTTGATATTGCTTTGTCATTTAAGTGGTAAAAGCTTTGTTTGCTTTAATATGGCAATGGAAGTGTAACTGCATAGCTCAGTATAGGAGACAGAAGATTTAAATAATTAGTTTTACCTGTGGATCAAGTTTGGTAAAAAATTACTGTTTTGTAGAAGATTTGTGCATGATATGTTTTAATAAAAGCAAGAGAAATTTGGCAGTCACCACACATTTAATTCCGGGATCAGCAGATTATCAATTCAACAGCGTTTCTGGCTTTTAAAATTTAAGGCTCACACATCCATCTTTAGGAATGTTTACATTTTTGGGAACATTCAGGAAGAATCTTTTATAAAATGGTAGATGGTAGAACAAGTGAAACTAACTCTAGTACATAATTTCCTAAATTTAGTCATAGGTACATTGTTATTTAAAATTCAGAGGGTATTTGAAATGGCTGTTAGGGACACACGCTTTTTAATGTGATATATCCTTGAAATAAGGTCAAAGACTTCACCAGTTATTGTCTGGTTATTTAGCACAAGACAAACAGAAATAGAGCAGAGGCATTCTAGCAGAGTTCGGCCTTATCTACTCCACTGTGTGCCCTCTTCAAGTCTAAAGCATGTCTCACTTTCATCAGTATTTTTCTTTGATGTAATTAGTGGTCAAATAGCCTACAGGACAGTAAACAATTGAGCCAGGTGGGCCAGTGCAAAGAGAGATTAGAGCTAGAATTTAGGCACTATTCCTTGTTGGTCTTGCCAGGTCATTTAAAGTCCACAATTATTTGTTTGTTTCCCTGGCTTCTTGTAGAATAGAGAGAGATGGTCACAAAGATAACTCAGTTACTCTCTCTCTTTCTCTTCCAAAAGGTTCTTTTCATTTGATCCGCATGTTACTAGATGAGTACATCCTGCTTGCCATGGAGACACAGTTCAACAATGACAAAGAACAAGAACTCCAGAATCTACTGGATAAATACATGAAGAATTTAGGTAACTAGAGCTTGGTCCTTTTGCATATACTTCTGTACTTTTAGAAATTGATGTATTTGTTTAACTTTAAACAGAAGCAAGTTTACTCTGTTTTCCTGAAGTTGTAGTTATATGCAACATGGTCAAATTCACCTGAAAAGTTTGTGACCATTCACTCAGCAATTCATTCACACCTTCCCAGCATGGTTCACTTTGTAATGTTTTGTGGGCCTGTGAATACAATGGATCACTGAAATTTGCTTGAAAGCAACATATACTTGTAGGTACATCCGAAGAGCCATGAGCTGAAATGTGAAAACAGGTATAAGCAGCAGAAAGGGCAGGAATTCCTAATCCAGTTTTTCTCCAAAGCCTTAATATGTAATTACATCTTGAACTGGGAATGTATGAAATGTTACCAAAATGCAAATATCCCTGCAATGTTGGAACAAAAGTTTGGAGCCCTGTTTATCATCTGGATGAAGTACTACTATGTGAAAGAGAAATAAAATTATTTTAAAACAGTATCCTTAACATTTTCCATCTACCAGACTTCTTCCAAGTTAGACAACTTGAAGTTATATGCTCCAAGTTCTTTGCTATCAAAAGAATGAAGATGGATTTGGATCAAGTTCTGGTCCAAGTTAATCCTTAAAAAAACAGTGAAACTTCACTGAGTTCTGCAGAATTTTTCTTTATTAACATTAGCACCAGCAATCAACTCTAAATCTGCACTTTGTTGAAAGAAACTTGCATAGACTTTGTCTGACAGTAGGTGCTGCACTTCTTTTAGTTCAGCCTCCAAGAGAAAAACCTGTCCTATGTGCCAGTTGCCTTATCCTTGGGTATTTAGGTGAAATACTGGAAACCATAAGGTAGAATCATGGTTTCCACTGCAGAATAACAGAACTGACTTTATCAATAATCTGCAGAAAACCAAAGAATTATTGAGTGTAACAAATGCTTTTCTCTAGATACCAACATGAAACAGAGTTCGAGCATTCTAAAGTTCCCATTGTTAATTCTTTAGGATGAAGTGTTGAGCCTGATTCGCTCTTAGTGCAATTTACTTTGCTTCATTGTTGAAATTTACTTCAAGGGAATAAATCTGATTCATACCTTCACTACGACAGCTTCAGTAAAGAGCTGACACTGTGCGATATAGATCTGTGGTCAGGGAAAATGATACCAACACTTTCACCAGGAAGATCAAGACTAGAGCAATATTTGTATTCATTGCCTACATGCAAAATATGCAGACTTCACAGGGTTTTAGAATAATCAACCAAAGATACAAACAAATTGGGCAGCTCATATGCTGTCTATATGCTAGCAGTAAATTTATGTGCAATGAGCATACATAACAACCAACAGGAGCTTTGATTTACTCCTTCAGATGCAAGCAAAGCCACCTTCACTGCATCACCAAGCTCTTGCTTCCTAGCAAATCGTAACAAAACTGCTCCTCTGCCCAGTGACACTTCAGTCAAGAATGAGTGTCTAGCAGAGCAAACCTATGTGTCCTTGTCGGCTAGCCAGGCCAGCAGCATACCTTCTGGTCTGAACTCCTTCACCACTGGAGACAGCGAGAACATGCAGCTGACAGGTATGTATCAACTCTTCCAGCTTCTCCTTCCCAATTTGCTTGTTAGTCTTTCAGTTCACATAACATGTTGCTGTAGAAGGGGCAATGACCACATGCACTTATAAAGACCTCTTATAAACAACATTTAATGAGCTCACCTTCTGTGATTTACAGAAGTCAGCAATTGTAATTACCCTGCCAGTAATAGTTCCTCTTGGAAAAGTGGTAAACTATCTTATACCTCTTGGCTTGGTGAGCTTCTTATGAGGAGAGAATGAACAGTAACATCTGGAGCACAAGAGGATTGTAACTGCTGGAGTTTCCCACTGAATGTAGCGTCTTCAAGCTGGAGAATGAAAGGGGGAAGCTTTATAGCCTGTAGCCAAGGATTAAAAGCTGTGAGTTGTATAGGTGGGGGCTAATGTATATCTTTTGGAAAAGTTTCAAATAGTAATGTACACTTCGCTAGAGGGTTAGTGCCTTAACAGCAGTACTGCAGTATGGGTGCTAATCATGGCTAATGTTTATTTATTCCAGATCAAATGGAGCTGTCTCAAAGCACTGGCCACCTCATGACTCCACCTATTTCACCAGCCATGGTCAGCCGAGGAAGTGTTATCAACCAGGGGCCAATGGCTGTGAGACCTCCAAGTGTAGGTCCCGTGTTATCGACACATTCACAGTGCTCTTCTTACTCAGAACCTCTTTATCAGACTTTGTCACAAACTAATCAGAATTACTACGGAAACAATTCCAATTACCAGGCTATGTTCAGAACACAAGCCCATTCCACTTCAGGAGCTTACGACCACAGAGCAGAGCACAGCCGATTCAATGCCTTCAGTGAACAGCAGTTCTCCAGAGACTACTTCAGCAACAGTTGTGCTGTGTCTCCATACAATGCCAGATCCCCTTCCAGCTATGGTCCCTCAAACGTGTCTCAGGACACACACAATATGCAGTTTCTGAATACTGGGAGTTTCAATTTCTTGAACAACTCAGTGCCTACATGTCCAGGAGCAGCATATCCTGCTAATGCTTCCAATGGTATTAATATATATTTTCTTTTTCCCTTCTGTTTCTCTTTCCTTGATGGAGTAAAATACTTTTTCTCCACTTTTCTATGAAAGATGCAGTTCAACTCTTATTTATACATTCCTGTTTTCCACTTCTCTGATGACACACAGAGGTGTAAAGCAGCTTAATAATCTACTTAAGGATTTATTTTCCTCTGTTGAATCCTAATTTGACCTCAAATGCATCTGCTGGCCTATGCTAATCTTCCTTTTTTGTACCATCACCACGTCTTGCACAAAGGACGCAAAAGCAGCATGGCCTTGTCGTTTAATGATCTCTTGAAAAGCCCCCAAAACATCTACTATGAAACAGAGTAGACATAAGATAGTTTACCTCTGGGATCAGCGTAATGGACCATTCTAGTCACAGGGTCAGGATGATGAAACAAAGTATAAAAATGTGCATTAACAATAGTTTGAGACTTTGGCCCTCCATCTCCCTCTGCTGGAGGAAAGACACAGTGGAAACGTTACTTTTATATGGATTTGTATATGCAGTAAGTCTGTATTACCCTGCAGATTTTCTTTCCATGTGTACCTTCCTTGGCTGTGAGCTTCAAAAGGGAGCGCTGAACTATGGATAGGGCTCCCCATGGTGTCTCTTACAGCCACCAGTTGCAGGCTATGTTTGATTCTGAATTTAGAAGGGAAGGGCAATTTTCTGTGCTGAAGGCATGACTGAACCCTTAGCATCTTTTTGTTTCCTTGTTACCACCTCTATTTTGGGTCAATCATTGCACATGTTTCTAATGTTACTAGGCTGTATGTGTACATAAATAATCTTATTCTCAAGTACTTTTTGTCCAAGGTTATCACAGGCTCCTAACCTACTCAGTAGTTTCACTCATCTTTTTTTCAATCTTCTTTCAATAGGATATTATGGAAACAGCATAAATTATTCAGAATCTCATAGACTTGGAACAATGGTGGATCAGCATGTTTCTGTAATAAGCAGTGTAAGCAGCATTCGATCACTGCCATCGTACAGTGATATACATGATCCACTGAATATCTTGGATGACAGTGGAAGAAAACAAACGGGCTCATACTACACAGAGTCCTCACCATCAATTGTCTGCCGGACTCCTATGCGTAAGTATAGCCAACAACTGAGGAACAGCTATGAACTTTATAGCATCCTAGCAAGTGTTGAATATTAAACTGTAGCTCACATATATGATATAAAATGTAATATAGAGATGAAATAGCTCACTACTTCAGATTTATCATAAGATGTGTTTTCTTAAAATTGCAGGACAATTGGTTTAATAACTCTTTGCTTCCATAAGGAGATCTATGATCCATTGTCCGTGAGGAGTGGAATGACTGGCCTGAATTGCAGAAAAATCTGGTTTAGAAAACAGTTTCTAACTATTAAGTGAACTAATAACAGACTGGGCTTTTCTAAGGTCTCTTAAGGATCTTCACTGTCAAACAGATCAAATGAACCCTGGGTCAGAGGTGTCTAGGTATATACTTCCTGTGGTATAGTCCCCATCCTGTGCTTCCACAACTGAGTGTGTTAGGCAAAGCTCCCACTGACAGTGAATTTTAGGCATAAATACCTGACTGCAAAGGGTTTGTTTTGGTATATGCCTTATACAAATGGCAGCTGAGTTTGATCTCACATTCCAAAAAGGGTTGCATGGAAGATATAAACTAGGGTACTGTTTGTTTCTCCACAAGATTATATCTTCCCGCTACTTACCTTGCACAGAAGATCAGAAATTTCCATCCTTCAGATGATGTGCCTGGTAGAAAAGAAGTTCCATCAAATGAAAATGGATTGTAATTTCTGTTAAATTCAATAGACTGAAAACTTGCAATGATGGTAATTTTTTTTTCACCACAGCTTCAAACTTACAAACCACATCTTCTTCACAATGTATGTATGGAACACCTGGTCCGTTCCCTTCTCAGGAAAATCTGGATGTCCATGGCCCACCAAGCAGAGACATGGTGTCATCGTTACCACCAATCAACACTGTCTTCATGGGAGCAGCTGCTGGAGGAACCTAACTGGGAGAAACATGTCAGTGCCTTAAGCCTAATTTCCAACTCCAGACATTAAAGCTATGAAGACAATGCCTTTCAAGTTGGTGGAATATAAAAGTATTACATATATGTGTTAGAGGAACCATTTTAGTGATATTAGCAGACATCCACACATAAAAAAATAGCTATATTTAGATTGGGTCCTGCTTGTGAATCTCTCAGGATTGTTCTCACCATTACAGCTTTTCAGTCAGAAATTTAGGGTAAGCAGAAAGAGTCACTGATTCTTGCAAACAAAACTAAGTTGTAAAGAAATTATTGCATCTATTCCTAATTTATTAAAAATGTTATTTTAGTCTTTCACTTATATATTTTCTTTCTTTTTTTTGTTTGTTTGTTTGTTTTTTTTATAAAAAGGTTTATTTAATGCCTGTGTTGCTCATTATTTATTAGGACCACAGAGTAACTGTTTACTATCTCATATTTGACAGACTGTCAAATGTATGTATCCTACCTCCTATGGAAATGTTTACAAGGTCAATTTTTACAGTTTTAAATGAAACTAAGCCAAATTCTTAAGTTTTTTACTGTTGTGCTCTGGAAAGTCTATTTCAAATGTTTAGTGCCTACTTGTGTAAGTGAAAGTCCTCAGGAAATAAATAAAATTTATTATGGGTATTTTATTTCTCTTTCTCTTAAAATAAAACCAACAAAACATGCAAATATCATAAGCTAACTAATTTCAGTAGCCTGCTACTGTAGTTGAATAACTGAAGGAAATAAAACTACGCCACTAAATGTCATGAGATTTCAGAACTACTTGTGGTACGAGCCGAAAATTTCTGCTGATGGAAATCCACAAAAATATGTTCATTAATTTTGATGGGTTTAATGCAACTGTATAAACTGAAAACAAAAGTAATAAAATTTATTAAAAAACATTGCAACCCTTTAGATAGCTATTTTAATAAAAAAATATTTTACAAGCGCCATGATAATCTGTGCACAAACATGCATTTATGTATGCGGCTGGAGAAGCCAGGTTAAGAATATTCGTTAATGGTATTACAGAGGACAGAGAATGCACTCACAAAACAAATTTCTTGCTACACATTCATGAAATAACAGGTCTGACTTTTTAATCTGGTTGTCCCAACAGCAGATTCAGTTTTGGATTTAAATCCAGTCTTCTGAGGATATTTGATGTCCATATTCCCATTCAGCGCATTGAATATATGCTGAATATTGTGGAATTGGAGAGTAAGGTATTTTTTGGTGGAAGAAAATGGATGATACTTTCTTTATAATTCTGTATAACTTCCTTTAGTATTTTCTATCATGAGAAGCCTGACTGCAGCAGAAAAGTAATAAAAAACTTTGACTGGGCTAGCTCATGCATAATTCCTGATATGAAAAAATTTATGTAGAAATGAGACACCATTGTTCAGCAATTGCTTCCTAGTCCAGGATGAAGACTTATGCTGTGACCAAAAATGCCATAATGGTGTAAGAAAGTTTTGGTTTCTATAAAAATTCACAATGACTTGTAGTGGTAACACAGACTATTAAAAAAAAATATTTATTAGACAAGGCTTTGTAGCAAGTGAAGTAAGTAGCGCAAAAGAGTTCTTTCTTCATGACTGTTCAGAACGTGATATATTTTCTTCTAAAATGAGTCCTATAAAAGGTCCTCTATCTATGCAGGTCACCCCTATAGTCCCTGACAGGAGAGGAGATCCCTCCCATTCCAAGTGAGATAAGATGGGGAAGGGGAGTGCAAAGGTAAGGAATATGCCACTAGGACAAGGGGTATGTCACTATCCTGAGGTGCTTGGTTCCCTCTGCTGACAAGTGGCATGGCACAAATAATCACTTTGAGCTTCCAGACTGTTGAATGTATGTGAGAGCAATATGTAGAATTTAGAGGAGGTAGGCAATCACTAGCAGACAGGGTCTTAGTCTGTTAGGCACTACATAAAAAGAACTGTTCATGATACCTAATTTCTCATATGGGTTTTATATGCACAATTTCCAGTCATTTTCTTTTTTCATGTGAGACATTTTGCATTGGGGCTTTTTGGTTTTTTTCATGGTTCTTTTTTCCCCATAAATTACTGTATCTGCACATTTTCTGAATTAAGAAACAGTCATATGTCATTAAATGGGCAGATTCTTCTGAAGGCTGCAGAATAGAAAGTAGCATAAAGTGTCACACTGTTGCAAATCACAGTTTATCATGAATAGTAAGGAGCAATAAAAAATATTCTAATATTCAAATAACCAGTTGAGAGAATTCTCTCGCAGTGCTGCAGAACAAACCAAGCCCATCATAATTGTAACTAGCAAAACCAAATGAGAAATTTCCATTTTATGACCCATTAGTTTGATCAAATATATGGTTTGAAGAATTCAATAAGTTTTGTCCGTGGGAAATGAAATAACTCATAGCTTTTGTGAATACCCCATGGGAAGATTTTTACTTTTTGTAGTGCAACAGCATTACAGTAAATAATATGCAGAATCAATGGAGTTGACTGTTGGTGGTCTTGTACTACTCAGTTCAGTTGCAATTTTCGTGAATGCATTGCTTTTAATATGTAAATGCCTGAAAATCCACGATTAAAAATTGTACATGTTGAGTACAATCAGTGTCAAATGAATATTGCCGAAGGGGGGAAAAAAAGGTGGTTTGCTTTTTTTTCTGAGAAAGTAAGATGAAAAATTAAATCCCTTTGATCTATTTATTGATATTAATGAATTTGAACGGGTTCTAGGAAAGGTAAAAGAGATGCATGAATGGGTCAAATCAGCTTCCACTTCTAAAGTAAAAATGATTCTAATACAAATTATATCGACCAAGATGAAGCAATATTGGAGAAAAAACAATTACTCGTGTGCCTTGAGCCCATGCCTAGCAGCACAGAATCTGTGCTGCAAGAGAAGTGCAGTTCTTTGACCCTGAAGGTAAGTAGGACCACAGGAATATTACTCCAAACTCAAAATTATTGAGAAAGTTGGCCTTTACCTTTAAATGTGTAGTGAAAACACAGTGAAATAACTTCTAAAACCTGTGTATTATTGTGTCTGAGTTTATGGTCTTGGATTCAGGCTACTGTGCTGGATGAGCCTGCACAATACCTGAGTTCGGCTTACGGCTCTTGCCAGAAGGGTCTGCACGGTGTGTTTAACTTAATGTAGTTAATTCATGGAAGTTCTTTGCTTTCTTCTTAGTGATGTACTCAAGATGGAGCTTAAACCTGAATTAGCTTTGGCATTAAGGTTAACTTCAGGAGCTGGGTCAACATGAAGCTGGAACCATGAGACAATAGTAGAATTAGAAGTGGCCATCAAGCTTGACTTACTGCTGCTGCTTAGAGGGATCCACAAACGATGTTTAGTTCTAGATAAAACAGAATGCAGGGAGAACAATATAGATTACTATTGTAGTCAGAATTATAATTAAGATTTACTTGGGCAGGAGCAGGTAAAAGTGAGTTGTTTCTGCATTTAGCAGGGATTGTTGAACTTATACAAAACTTACTGTCAGACCAGATGATCTAGGTATGATTCCTTCAAGGTCTGGTCTTAAGAGTAGACTTCAAATTGATTTGAAATTTACATTTGAAAATTAAAGAAGATGAGCCATTTAGGTTAAAGCCAGGTCTAGAAGAAATGAGTGAAACTAATTTAAAGTTTTAGGTGATGGAGGCCACATTATCAATCTTCTGATGCTGGCATTTCTGGAATCTGAAGATATGGTTGAGGTTCAAGCCAACATGAAGCAATGAATCTGAACTAATTATGGATTTAAGACCTTAATGTATCTATGCTTATTATTGAAATTAATAAGAGTTCACTGATATAGTCATTATCTTCAGCTAAGAGTTGAAATAAAAGACTAGGACTAGGTCAGTAGTTGTGTCAGTCAGAATCAATGCATGTCTAATTAGCCATTAGCTGAAACTTCTCTGATGGAAAAGAGATGTATCTTGCACAGCCAAAGATGAGAAGATATCTTTAATGGAAGGACTGCTGGATTTGTATCCTCTAGAGAGATGCTGCATTATTGCTAAGGATTAGACCTCAAGTAATCAGCACTACTGGGATGGTGAAAGATCGGGAAAGCAGGAGATCCTACTAAAAACTGCTGCTTCCATGGTCATCAGACATTTGCAGCAACTACCAGGCTCAGCAGAATCCCTTCTTACAAGGACTTGAGCCTGCCAATGAAGGCACAACCAGACAAAACAGGACAAAAGCAGGGCTGGGATCTGAAATAGGGGAGGCAAAATATTGTGGTCATTGCACAATAAGTGACACCAAATACCATTTCTCTACATTTGGATTCTTTGTTATTTACACAGTTTTTTCCCATTTAACAATGGGTTTATGTTACAATGCTGCACAGAGCAATGGTTACACAACTGGGAACACATAAAAGATTATATTAGCAGCTGAACTAGGAAAATCTACTTCCTTTCCTTTTGGTTTAGTTGATTATTATCCTTGATCAAATAAAGGGCCACATGTTCGTACTGCCCTTGTGCCCTGGTTGCTACAGTAGAAAGAAACATACAGTGAAATTGTACATTTAGAGTACTATATGCCTTTTTGACTCCTGTCATATTTAATTTTCCCATATAATTCAGTTTTGCTCAGACTTTATTGACTAGTCACCTGTTTTGCACCAAGATACAGAGATCACTCTAAATTTAGTAAAAATTGCATGTTTTAGAAAATCCCCATTACAGGAAAGATACAAACTGTATGTAATACAGAGGTGGACAATAAATAACCTTTCCTTTCTCTCTGTTATGGTTTTTACCAAGCTTCCTCTTTAAAGTATGATCAGCTTTCAAAAACTGGCCCAAATGTACTGAATTCTCTAACAGCATCTTTCCCTTGACTCTAGATATTTTTTCCTAGGTAGGTGTGCCATCCACTGACTGATGTACTGGATCTATGTTCCTGCACACCCAATCCACAGCAGCTGTTAATTTTTGACAGTCTCCAACTTTCAGTTC